ATCACATGGTCACTCGTTGAAGCTAAGCAGGGTTGTGCCTGGTACCTGGATGGAAGACTACAAAACACTCAGGCCCCGCTTATACAAATGCGTTTTCGTTTTAAAGCGCATAAGTTTTGCTATGGCTACGCCATCCTTTTACACTACGCCAGAGTTTTCAAGCATTGAAAATAGAGCGTTTTGGAAACGCTGAAGAAGCTGTTTTCTTTCTAAAATACAGCTGCTCCGTCTCAGTGTGGATGGGGGAAAATGGAGATATCTGAAAATGGAGGCGGGGCTGTAGGCATTCGCCTCTCTGATTGGTGCTTTTTCCTTAATCAGTCCTGCATCCTCTCCTTGTAAGTTCAGACTTTGCAAGTTTGATATGGAAAAACAGACTCCCTAGGACATGTCAGGTAAATCTTCAAAGGGAATAGTATACTTTATGACCTTATTCACATTATCCTGGATACGTTCGTGGTTTCCCAACAACAATAAAATGAAAACATTATGTAAGGAACTGCTATTTTCATTTTGATTTTATGATATATATAAATGCTGAGGTGTCGTGCTGCATATTTAAGCGTCATCTTCACTGTGTGCATATTTATAACAAAACAGAGCTGATAACATTACTGCCTCCTTTCATTTTCATTGAAAATACGAAACACACCTTCTCTTTTGCTGAATATCAGTTTTAATAATCAATATTGGTCATTATAAAAGTATAACGTACAATAAGTTGTATAAGATACATTATAGGAAATAAAGGCAAACAATCAGTCAATATACATAATGTACGTGGTTACATTAATTATTAACTTATCTTCGCGCTCAGCCAAAAGGCGTTACCTGAGAACAAGTAGTAGATTCAAAAGACCAAAGTCGGGAAATATGTTGTTAGTTGTAAACAAGAAGATGAATGAAATATCACGTTTTAAAAAATATAGTGAGATTAGATCCAGCAGAAGATCCTTGATGAACAGTCTGACGAGCACAGCTCTCATCTGGCTAGATATGCTGCAGCGCATGACAGAGTGTGTGTGTGTGGTCACGTGATCTGCGTTTTCAGTGGATTGGTGTAGACAGAGTTGTTCAGAATCGTGGGTAAAACGCTAGTGTGGACGCGGATCGTTTTCATTCTAAAACGCTGTTTTAAAACTCAAATGTACTAGTGTAAACAGGGCCTAAGTTGCTTATGGAGGATGTGCTAGAGAGACCAGCAGGGGGTTTACATTAGGGATGAGGTTATTTTATCGTTTGCAATTTACCAGTAAAATTATCCCACTATAAAAGATTTGAGGGCGAAGCAGTGGCGCAGTAGGTAGTGCTGTTGCCTCACAGCAATAAGGTCGCTGGGTCGTTTGTTCGAGCCTCGGCTCAGTTGGCGTTTCTGTGTGGAGTTTGCATGTTCTCCCTGCGTTCACGTGGGTCTCCTACGGGTGCTCTGGTTTCCCCCAGTCCAAAGACATGCGTTACAGGTGAATTGGGTAGGCTAAATTGTCTGTAGTGTATGAGTGTGTGTGTGTGAATGCCTGTGTGGATGTTAGAAGGGCATTCGCTGCATAAAAACTTGCTGGATAAGTTGGCGGTTTATTCCGCTGTGGCGACCCCGGATTAATAAAGGTACTAATGAATGAAAAGATTTGACTTATTCCAATAAATGTGAAATGATTTATCATAAGTTGCCAGCCCCTGCCACCATTTTTAATGAATCTGTCCTAAATTTGACAGCCCTCAGAATATTTTCAGCTTGGAATATATGAACTATATGAATATAATCACAATTATTAAATATATCACATTCTTCATGTGTTCATGTTTTATACCCATTTAAATGCAGGTAGGTTTCATGAAAAATCTAACATTTTATACAAAAAAAACCTTGACATTTTTCAAAAAGTAGTGCATTTTCAAGATATATAGTAAAGCATAAAGTATAATGCACACACACACAAACACGCACGCACAGTACATACATACACGCATACATTCATTTACTCACATGCTGTACGAATACAAGTGCACTTGTATGTGTATAGGTGAACGTGTCCACATTGCATTTTAAGTGTACTTTAATGCTTCTAAAATACCAAGACTAACTTAAACACAAATAATCCAGATATTGTCACAAGCATTTGTTCTCTTCATGTTTGACCCAATTCACCATTTTCTGTCATTTTTATCCTCATGCAGTGAGAGCTGACCGTAGTTGACTTTTTTTCAGTAAAGTGTATGTAGAGATTATGCATACAAGGGTGCCCTCTAGCATTCAGTATGAATGACAGAGAAATAACATTTCAATGTATACTCGAGGTCTTGAACTCTGCCCACTGGTCTGCTAATTTATAACCTGAATTAACACATCTGCTTGTGTGTTTTATATGGACCTGAAAAGCTGGCTTGATCAGCTGCTTCAGTGTTAAAATATGGTTGAGTTCTGCAAGACAGTGGACATCCAGAAGCAGGTTTGAAGTGTATAAAATATATTTTAAAAAAACATGAAAATGTATACTTTTCTCTTAAAATATTGGAATTTTTTGTCTCTTAGTGCATAAATATGACTTTTTGTCAACATATTGGGATCGCAATAAATAACAGGAAATATTGTGATATTGTTTTAAGCCCACACTGCTCATCCCTAGTGCTTATAATTATTACTGTGGGGGTCCAAGTGCCCCAGTATAGTGACTCTGTACTGTAAGCGAGCACCATCCTTCGGATGAGATGTAAAAAAAAAAGGTATTGACTTTCTGTCAATAAAAATCCCAGGATATGGATATGAAAAAAATAAGGAGAGTTTTCCATGGATCCTGGCCAAACATGACCACTGCCTTCTGTCCATCATGGCTTCCTAATCATTGTCAAATCTTAATTTAATTGTCTTCTCCACCAATAAGTTGGAGTGTGATGTGTGGTACAGTATGGCCCAAAACTGCCAGTCATCGCATCATCCAGGTGGATGTTCAAAAGTGCAATATAAATGTAATTATTATTATAATTATTATTCATAAATAATAAATATAACAGTTTATGGTTTTGAGCTTTACACCTTTGAAGATATTTTGTAACATAGCTTTGACATCCTCGGCGGTTTGGTTGAGCCATAGCTCTCATATTTTGTAGTTCTATTTGAGGAGGGGCTTGAATATAATGTCATTTGGGCAATTTAAAGGCCATCCAGGAAACTTGGCATTCAACAGTGGAGACTGTATCCTGTGGGCTGGGAGAGACCACAAATTCCTCATAGGATTACAGGATTAGAAATCTGAAAGGTGATGCGGTTTCTCACAGTTGGGGGAAATAAAAAGGACAAGGCTGGCAGAGGAGCGATACCTCATTAATGTCTGCTTTCCCTTAATTAAAATCTACTGATTGAATGATATTGGAGAGGATTAGGCCTAGAGTTGACTTATGAAACACACGCACACATGCAAGTTTTCCCAAAGCATTCTGAGATATTTTGAGGTGAGGGCTGTGTTCAATAGATAAAAGTCTTACTTGCCTGAGCTCTTTCAGGAGCTGGTGAGGAGTTAAGTGCTGTACTTTTGACTGATAAGAGAAAGGACAAAAACAGTGGATCCAGATTGCGAAAGAGGTTAGCAGGTCACCATTGTAAGGTTTGCCAAAGGACTCCATAATTGTCTGTGGCTGTTCAACCTCTAAAATTAGCTACTACTATTGTCAAATTGTTTTAATGCCAGAATATTAACAAGACAACCAAACTGGAGTTTCACCTCTGCCAGATATGTCGTTACTTTTTTCAACCCATTTTTGGCACAACTGTTAATTCAGTGATAAAAACGAGGGGATGAAGAATGAGAAACATGTTGAAATGTCACAAGCCTGTTTTGAGCTCCTATTGCCTGACTCAATAGGTCGGGCACATGCACTAGTCAACATGCATTACTTCAGGAATGCTATAGAGACTGAAATTTTTTTTGCACCTTGCTGGTGAGTTTTACAAGGGCAAGTAATATTTTCCATGAAAAAAAAAAATCTTGCTGGGTTTGCTCGTAATAACTTTACTAAAGTGACTAGATTTTACATTAATAAACAGATGCAGTTGTGATGTGTTTTTTCTCTAGTGCATAGTTCAGCTCACATTCACAGTTGTTTAAAAGACAGGCCTTTCATCACTCCAAGATGTCAGCGTTCAAGGGCACTTACATAAACCTTTCTAAACTGTTTTCCCACATTTGTCTTTTCATGCATTTCTTTGGTTTATGTCAGAAGTTGTTTCATTTGCTGTACTCTGATCCAAACAAACCAGACTCCATGAGTCTAAATTATTTTCTGCTGATGTAATCAGACATGTTAGTGCCAAAGTAACATAATATTTTCCAACCTCTTTAAGCTTTAAACATTTAGAGGGTTTTTGTTCAATGATTCTCAGTGTTTTTTTTTTTCTTTGTTTTTGTTTTCCATTTAATGCAGTAAAAGTTATAGGTGCAACTTGTTTTTGTTTCTAAAGGTACTATTTGAATTTGGTCTTTTTGGTCTCTTTCCTGTTGTGAGCCTGTTGAAAATGCTGGGACCCCAGATGTAAACTAATCTGAAACCGCAGCATAGACTGTCTTAGCCTCAGCTGCAGAGCTCTGAAATGGAAGTTGACCTGTTGAAAAACAAAACTGTGGTTAAACTTCATTACCGCCTGTAGCTGTTGGCTTTGAAAACAGGATGGCTTTACAGAACATATCCTAGTATCAAGTGCTGATCTTGCAATACGTTATTTCTAACAGACCAAACCACAAGTCTCAAAGGCTTGCACAATGGTGCACAGTATTATATGCTTTCAGTAGGTGTGGCCCACAAACTGAGAACTTGGCAGCAAAACAGGAGTTGTTATCAGTAACAACATGTAGGTTCCTAGTTATAGTTGTTTTTTTGTATGGGGTGTGAATGTTTCTCTGTCAAGCTACCTAGTGTAAGAGAACGAAGAGCTTGTAAAGATTTACAGAATGACCTGGAAATAATATTGTTTCATATTCTAAATTTTATCTTTTGTCTTTTTTTTTTAGACTTACGAAAGGCCCTCTAAACTTCTGGGTAAAACTGAAAATGTGATGATGGAGAACACAAAACCAAAGCAGTCTAAAAGCAATGACATTCTCCACCTTGACTGGACAAAGAAGTTGGATACTGTTGGAGAAGTAGGATCCCAAGAGCAAAACAGGACAGAACCAGAAACAAAAAAAGAATCAGCATGCACCAACAAGGGTCCTTTGCCAGAGCCCAGCACCCCCTTCTTGAAAACACAAGTCAAAAAAGTCGCAGACGGTTTATCTGGAAGTCACTTTGGATCTACCATGTCCTCACCAAGCACTGACTTACTTGCAGCATCTTCAGTCAATACAGTAATGAGTCCCTCAACTGACTCAAGTCTGTTCTCTTTTAACAAAGACAGAGGTTTGCAGCAAGTCACTGAGCAAGTTTTTGGGAACATCAAACGTAAATATGGTAGAAAAGACCCCACCAAAACTCCAGTCATGCATAATTTAGACCTTCAGTGGGTCAAAAAAATGGACAGAGATACTGAAAACCAAGATAGTGCTAAGGAGAAACAACCGTATAGCCAAGATAAAAGTGCATTTGAAGAGGAGCCTGAGAAGCCAATCAATAGGCTGGATGATGATAATAAGACAACAACAGGCTGTGGCACTCATTACACAGAGGAATCAAGGAGTAAAAAGCGAAGAAATCGAAAAGTTACTGAAGATAGCATGGTATCTAATGCACAAACGGTACAGCAAGATGAGAAGACTGATAACACTGACCAAGGGTGCACAAAACTTAAAGTGACAAAGAAAACCGATGTCAATGCACCAAAACAATTTGGTTTTAATTTACAGCAGAGCAAGGAAGACATTGCTGGGACAGTGACTGATGATGCTGAGATGTTTCAGAACAGACCAAGGAAAACCCCAGCAGGAAGAGCGAGATCCATGATTGATGTTGACAAGCAAACAGAGGGTAGGCAATCAAAGGTCAAGGACAGGTGGCTTTATTTAAAGTCCCAGAACTCCTCTCCTCATAAAGACTTGAATCAATCTCTGTCCATTGAAGAGCCACCCTCTGCTTTCCCTATTACCCCATCCAGCCCACTCTATACAAACACAAACAGTTTGACCGTCATTACCCCAGTTAAAAAGAAACGTGGGCGTCCCAAAAAACAGCCATTACTCACTGTGGAGACGATTCATGAAGGAACTGCAACAAGTCCAGTTAGCCCTATTGCTCATGATTCATCCAACACTTCAAAAAGAAAGAAGCATAATATGTCAAAATTGGTGCAGTTGGCCTTTCACAAATCCCCTCCTGCACAGCAGTTACAACTCAAGAAATCAGATCAAGAAGGTGTCCTTAAAAAGAGAACACCTACGAAAATTAAAGAGGTCAAGATGCAGAACATTATAAATGAACTTTTATCCACTTCTAGTTCTGGCAATCTTGCCCCGAAGCCCAATGTTCCAGTTTCAAATGCCATGTCAACTGTGGCATCGACAATCGAGGCCCGTTTTGGCAAACAAATCAATGTCAGCAAGCGTGGGACTATTTACATAGGCAAAAAACGGGGAAGGAAGCCCAGAGCTGATCTTTCATCCCAGCAAGATGAGCACAAAGCCAGTGATAAGCACTCGTTGCTTAATTCCAGTCCATTTGAGAACCCACTAGTGCCTTCTAGTAATTCATCCACAACCGGAATGCCTTCTCCCAGGGTCATGCATTCCTTTTCTTCTCACTCTGCACCTGGTGGGGCAGCTCACCCTGTTACCACAGATACCAGCCAGCATGACCTGAAGACAATGCCAAATCTACAACCTATCAGTGCATTGCCCACAAAAACACATAAGGGCTTGCTCAGTAGTAACTGGAAGCTGTCTCCCCCAAGACTAATGGCCAACTCACCATCCCACCTGTCCGAAGTGGCTTCCATTAAAGAAGTCACATTGTCTCCAGTTAGTGAGTCTCACAGTGAAGAGACAATCCCTAGTGATAGTGGAATTGGCACCGACAACAACAGCACATCAGACCAGACTGAGAAAGGCCCAGCATCCCGTAGAAGATACTCATTTGATCTTTGCAGTTTTGATGCCACTGAGGCAGCTATAATAGACGCAAAGAGCAAAGCAGCCAGGGGACACTACCAGAAGCATGTCACAGCAGTCTCTGTCGAAAATTTTTTTGCTCAAGAGAACTTGAAGAAGCAGAAGCATCGAAGAAAGCGCAAGGCTCTCCAGAGCCAGGATGACCTGCAGTTTATGGCTGACCTTGAGGAACTGGTTAGCAAATTCCAGGTCTTCCGAATCTCCCACCGAAACTACAAATTCTACCATGAGAATTCCTATCCCAGCATCTTCCGTCTCAACTTTGACCACTACTATCCTATGCCATACTATCCCTATGACCCTCTGCACTACCTTCGCAGGAGCTCTGATAAGTCAAAAAGAAGGCGTGGCCGACCAGCCAAGTCAGATGAGCCAATATCAAAGATGCCTTTTATTCAAGGGTTTGGCTGCCCAGTGCCTGGTGGCAATTACTATGCACCCTACGCGATGCCTTACACATCCATGCCTCTTGCCACAAGTATGATAAACATGGGCTATTACGGTCAGTACCCTTCACCCTTGTACTTATCTCATGCACTTGGACCTACAGCCTCTCCTCTGATGAGGCCACCAGTCCCTCCACCAAAGTTCCACCCTGGTGCGTCCTCCTGTCTCTCTGCTTCTAGCAGACATAGAGTGAAGAATATGCCACATGAGATGTCTTCATCAAGAATGAGCGACTCCCATCACCCTTCAAGCAGCTGTTTGGGAAGTGTCTGTCTCCATAAACGCAAGCACAAACACAAGTACAAACATAAAGAAGATCAGTACATCCAAGAGAGGGAGGACCTTGGCGGGCTATTCAGTGGAACACAGAGTCCTGCCTTCCTCAGCCTCTTGAATGAGAGACTTGAGAAGAACTCCTTGTCCAAACTGAAGGACAAGCAAAGAGGCAAGCACAGCACAGACACTTCACCAAAAGCTTCCAGAAACTACTTTGAAGTAGACACTCTCTCGTCATTATCCTTATCTGACTCTCAGCATTGCAAACGCACTCGAGGAGAGACACTGAACAACTTCCTCAACATCTGCACTAGACAACCACATGAGCGCCTGCGAGCCAGCCAGGACCAGCCGCTGGACTTGTTCAAGGGGCAGCACTTAGGGGGCGATGATTCTAGCATCCACATCAGGAGGCATAGCTTGGAAGACTTCACAACATACAAAGAAGGAAGTATGGCATCTTTCCAAGGATGTAGTGAAGAGCGGGCTGAACAGATGTACCAGTGCTCCACAGCTGTAGCAGGTAAAAATATATCTGTCTCTGTAAAATGTGAAATATGTGTCTGTGAAATGTATTTAGACAAATGAAAGATCCATGCAAGTTACTGATTCTATTGAACTAGTTTTGCTATAAATGAACATGGTTATAATTTACCTGGGGTTGATTAATTGGATACAAGTGAAATCATGTTCCGTTATTAAGTAGAAAATCTAGAGAATCAAATGTGCTCTCCAAGCACTTTGTATTCCGTTCTCTGTACATCTGGCAAGCAAAGTGTAATGCATGGATGGAGACAACTATAATTCACAAATTTCTCTTTCCTCCCTTTTTGCCCCTGCCTGCCAATGGTTTTTTTCTTAGAGATATATTATTCACACATTTTGATTTATATTCTACAGACATGCAATAAAAAACCTTGCCTCTTGTTAAAAGAGCTGGAGAGAAGCCAGAGGTTTAATGAATCCAGTCTACTCCACTGAAGGGGAATTGCAAGCCCTAGGCACAGTTAGATTACATTTTCACTCCCCTAGGGGAACTATGAGGATGACTCACATTCTGCCTGATACCACCCACCTCCATGAATTAACTCGATGCTTCAAAGAGCTAGTTTGTTGTACTTAAACAGAGAAATATGATATACATCGCACCTAAGAGTATGTCTGTGTTGATTTCAAAGCACAGATTTAGATAAGCCTGTTTTGACAGAATTGCTTTTTATAACAGTCACATTTTTTGCCAGTGGCATGATGGTTATCCTGCAATAAATTGCAGCAAAATTAGGCTTTTATATGCTCTAATTTGCATTTAAGGTCATATCTCATTTACGATTAATTAGTTCTATTTGCTACGGATTCATGGCATAACGACAGCACCTTTTTTATAATAAGGCTATTAATCATTGTGATAGGAGGGTCTAGTTTAGAGCAGATTGTATTAATCTAAAAGCTTTATACTTTGTATGTACTATGTCCTACTTAAGGATGTCTGTGTGTGTGGTGGGAGTGGGGGTTGGGGGGGTTAAAAGCAAAATAACATGTTAAAGTAATATAAAAGTAATTTTCGACTCCTTACAGATCCTGTTTGACGCTTTCTGCTCTAATCTACTGTCCTGGTGGGTGTAATCTAAAATGTGAAATCTAAATAGCTTTACTCACTATAACTTTAATGTAATTTTTAATAAGTAAGCTTTAAATCAGCGATCTGCAACCTTTTTTATAGCACTGACGTTTTTTTTATGAACATGACGTTTTATAACTATGTAATTAACTAACTGCAAATTGGGGTATTATTTATGTATAAAAGTTTAAAATTGTTTTAAAATGCAAAAGGCAAATCAAGTTCTCAAGTTAATGATCTTTAATTTTGACATTTTAAAGTGTAAATGAAAAACAAGTAAATAATAGTGAAACTCTAATTATCCAAAATTTAAATAGAAAGCAAAACAAGTGATGCACTTCTATTATACTCACATATATTCACATATAGAAATTAATTTCAGTAAATAACAGAATATGATGAAATATTAATATTGTAAATTATAAACAAACAACAAATACTCCTTTTTGAAACCAAAGCAGTAAGCTGAAATTCACTTAAAACCTCATCACTGATTATGTTATATTCTACTCTTGCTGTTGTTAGCTGACTTTAAATATGTGGTGTCTCACTTTGTTTGCACCATTTAATATAAGCAAGTCTAGAGTAGTGCCATTAAATTAATCATCGCTATAGCTCATGTGATGATTGCACACTGTGATGCTCGCTAGTCAAACTGAAAAGTTAGCAAATTAACAGATGACAGTGGTAGGCTTCCATGACATGAAAGCCCAGTCTTGCATAGCTTGCAAGGTATTGTATTCTTAAAGGCATATAATGTAAAATTCTCTCATTCCTTGAAGGACTAGGGGCACAAGCTTTTTTTTTCTCCAGCAGCCAGTTTTGTAGCCTGCGTGAACGGCTGTGTATCTTGGCTGCAATCCAGTTCAATTTTTTTATGGCCACTCGCTATACTTCCCCCCCCCATCATGTTCCCTTGGATGTACATCATTGATTATGTTACATAAGTGTCCAGTACTGGCTCAACATCTAAATGGGTTCAAATAGAGTGCCCTAAACTCTTGCGCAGTAGAGAACTACACTGTTGTGATGTAAAAATTGCATTGCATTCTGGGACATACAGGTGCTGGAGTGGGCATATGAAGCCGACTTGATTAAGGGTTTGTAGAGAAGTGGGATGCACTTCAAAATGGTGGTAAGGATTTCCTTGAGGGAAGAAGGGAAGTGAAATTTGCTGGAGTGGAACGCAGAACTTGTTGTCATACCTACAACTTGCCCAAGTAACTAATAAAAAAATTCAGTGAGGTGATGTGGTGGCGGAGTGGGTAGCACATTCACCTTACAGCGAGAAGGTCACTGGTTCGAGCCTCGGCTGGATCAGTTGGTGTTTCTGTATGAAGTTTGCATGTTCTCCCTTTGTTCGTGTGGGGTTTTTTTCCGGGTACTCCGGTTTCCCCCACAAGTCCAAAGACATGGGATGCACCGATATGGGTTTTTAGGCTATATATCTTATCAGTGAAGAGAAAGTGACACAAACTTATCATTTCACTGCCTTGCGAGTGACCCGAAGGTCCGTTCTGAATGAATGGTGAAAATAAAAGGGATATCAGAGCTCAGTTTCAGCGAAGTTAAGGGAAATGGCACTGGTTAGCTAACGTTTTATTTCCTAAACACATTTTAGATGCCATTTATCAAACTCGAGTTAATAAACTAGCTCTTTCACTATATTAGACTCATCATGATACTGAATTAAAAGAAAAAACATCAATTTCCCATTAACATTTAAAGCACTGTTAATGGTTTTCTTAAAACAGCGCTGATTTGCCATTGTGTTCCCGTGTTCAACAGAAATGATTGTGATTGGCAGAGAAGGTCATCAGTTCACTCTCAGCTGTTTACTGACCACAAACACAGACGAGCGATCCGCTTGATGACTCGACTGATCTTCAGGGCCGCTTCACGCTCCAGTCTCCGTGTATCTATGTTTGCACTGGGTGAAGAGCGGTAAACTGAGTGCAAACACAGATACACGGGCGCGAAGCAGCCGTGAAGATCAGTCGAGTCATCCCCGCTCAGCAGCTTTTCCATGTTAGCGGGAAATAGACGGTTTTAAAACTTCAGTACCCGGACAACACAATTACAGACAACACGAGGGACTGCAGTGTTTTATCGCTCACCGGGTTACATAGGCTGAAGCAGGAAAGCGTCCCCACGGTGTTTAACTGCCATGAACTGAAGCCTAGGAGGACACTTAAGCGTATCACTGAGATTGTGATGTTGTGCGACACTAAATTGCTCTTAATTGTTTAAAATAAACTAACTGAATGATATTAAAGCGATGTTTACACCATTTCTGCATTTTAAAAATCGTGGCAACAGCTGGAAGTTTGTAGTACACAGCATGTTACTGCAATGTTTACAGTGCTGATCCTATACTTCCGGGTTTCTTCCCACAGCAGCCTCGCATTGGTTCTTTAAAATGGCGGCCACGTGAAATAAGCATATAGTGCACTGGACAAGTCTGAACAAGTTCCACCCACGCAAGTGCGAGGCAGGCAGTTGTGTACAATTACGTAATCTATTGGCTTAAAGATATCGGCCTAATTTTGACATCAGACCGATAATGATAACCTTAAAAATAGCATTTATCGGCCGATGACAATATGGCCGCTGGAATATCATGCCTTACTAACTAACAAAATAAATAAATAACATATAAAATAAATAAATAACATCATTTATTATACTTTGGGTAAAAAAAAGAGATAAATTAGTTTTACATAAAATAAAAATTATGCATTTCTGAAAAGCTGTAAATCAGATAAAGAGAAAGTCTCCATAGTGGTCTTTTTATTTTATTCTCATAGATCATACAAATGATAAGTTAAGTTTAAAGTAATCCAGCATTGCTTAAAATGCATTTTAACTCAATCACACGATACACATACGTTCCACAAAGAATAAAGGGATCTAAAATGCTAAATAAATGTCTCCATTAGGAAAAGCACCCTTTGACTGGCTCTTGAAAGTGATTCATCATACATCAGTGAACACATATGGTATGGATTGAAATTCTGACGAGGCTCTCAATGTACAGATCCTTCAGCTCTTTAAACCCTCTTTAGGTAAAGCAAGCTTTAACGTAAAACGTAATGGCCCTCATTTGCTAGCGAAGAATCATGCGGAGGATTTCCCTTTGATTGCACTGGATTCATCTGACTACAAGATTCTGAACCTACTTAGACTTAGCTAGAAAACCCCTATTAAAGCCATTACTAAAGCCAGCGCATGATAAGTTTTCAAGCAGCTCTGCTTAACAAGGAATTTACCTATTACATGAGTAGCCTGGCTTGATAGTTGACTAGGGAATTTGCAGGGGCAAAAATGTGATCTTACACCACTATTTTTTTTTTTTCGTAAATCGTTTACCTTTGAACTGTGGAATTCCGTTGCCATGGCAACAGGAAGTAGGCCTCAGCTAGCGCATAGAGCGGAGCTGTGGGGACAGCGGCGAGGCAAGTCCATAAATTGCTGCCTCTAATGAAAACATTGTGCACAGGATGCAGGTAGAGATTTCAGGGAATAAATGAGTTGTGACACTCCCTTTGAAAATGAATGTCTCTGTCCAATGATTTGTTGGCACTTGGGAAGACTCTGCAAGTTTCCCAGTGATAAACTGTGGCCAGAGAGGGAAGGGCTCATGTTTAGTCAGGCACACATTTTACTTTATTGAAACCAAATGGGCTAAAGGAGCCCATGCACAGCTGGTTAGTGACCCGTGCTTTTTTTTTTCTTTACATTCAAATTATCCCTGATGATTGAATCATTACTAAGGGAATACCATGTTTAGGTAAGCACTGTGTGATTTAACATTGCACTTTAATGCCATAACGAAAAGATTTAAGGATGGATTAAGAATTGAGAATGAGCGTATCGCATATTTGAGTTTGCACAGGTGCACTCTTTAAGAGCAAAACCTGGAAATGCACAGAGCGCCCCTGATCTCCAACATCTTTCACAATTACAGCTCTTGTTTGTTTTCATGGAAACCTACCAGATGGAGTGGCAATCAACAAGAAAAGAGAAAAAGAGACCTCTCTAGAGATATGAAAAGAGTGCAGGGGAGATCTTAGATGTGGAACACACATTTTAGGCAGCTTTATGCTGTCTGAACTCATTTCAAACGAGACTGCCAGAAACCCAGCATTTCCTCTGGTCTGGGCTTCCTTCCAAAGCTCCTACGTGAAGTGTAGAGGCAGTAAATTAATCACAAATGTATCTGAGGCCTCCTAGTTTATTACTCACATTTACAGATGCATCTATTCACCGTGAATGTGACTGTTGACTGTATTTCCCTGATAGACTGATAAGTGGGAGGTTCCTGATGTTTCCACATTATGTGCACGGATGCAGTTATCCACATGTCAAGTGTTAAGTGAGCTGTTGCTTCACAGTCCTCTTCTCTCGCGGCCCATTTTTTCATGTGTTCGCTTATTAGCGCTTTGCTCTCTTAGATTGACAGCCATTAATGATAAACAGCGTGACTCAATAAACTTGGCTGTATCAACTGCTATCAGATCTGTATATACAGGAATATTTACACACCAGCTAATACAAATTAGCATGTTGACACGTTGGATTGTCACATCATTTAGCACAGAAGAAAGTTTATCTCTCTCAGTCTGGCGTCATACGTCATGACTTCCTCAGGGGTCTTGAGTTTACTTTAGAAATATCATTGTTTCAGCTAGCGAGATGATGTGCAAATCAATTATGTTATAACAAACGACTGGCCAAATGTTTACCAGACTGGCCTAGCACATTTTTCACAATCAGTGTCTCGTTGTAGCTTGGATGGGAACCGTAAAAAAAATCCAGTTCCTGTTCCTCTTAACGATTCCATTAATGATACTTTTACGTATTTTAGGGGAACAAATGCAGTTCTGTTGCCAAATGACTGGATAATTTCAAGGATGAATTATTTTAAAACGTTTGTAAACTGAGTTTCTTTATAAAACAAGCAGTTCAAATGCAATATTATTACTGCTCTTAACTATAGACTATCAATAAATAGGAAACCTAAGAACTAAAATCTGCTAACATTCGCTAATTTTTTTCATTTGTTAGTTCAGCATTACCAATAAATAAATACTAACAAACCTCTGACATGAACAGTGGTGAAAAGAGTACTGAAAAATCATACTCAAGTAAAAGTACCACTTCTTGCCCAAAAATATAGTGCATTTAGAGTTAAAAGTAAATGTTGTAAATATTAAGAGTAGTGAGTATTACACTAGGAAAGGTTGTTTACCAAACAGTAAACACCCATCATCTTCTCATCAGTGACATTCAGTCTAAACAGTCTCTGGGTCATTGCATGTAAAGTATCTTCTTGCACACTTTTAATGCTTCCAAACAGTTTGCTGCATGTCTAGTTCAGTGTGATGCGATTTTCTGTCTATGAATGATTAGATTGGATTTTTCTAATCCCTATAGACAGAAAATAAAAAAAGTAGTGACTGCAGTTTGAAGGAAAGTAGTGGAGTAAAAGTACTGATACAGCTCTAAAAAGTACACATTTTTAAAACTAGTAAATTACAATTTGAGAAAAAAATACTCAGTTACAGTAATTTGACTAGTTGTAATTTATTACTTTACACCACTGGACATGAACTACTAAAATCTATGTGTGTCCATAACTACACACGATTTTCCAAACATCCATTGTTTTGGTATTGATAGTTTTTATCTTCTTAAAAATGTTTTTAGGCCATTTTTTATGCCCACCTAGTAATCTTTATTCAGCACTTTTCGACTTCCTAATAAATCACTGTGCTGTTTAATAAATGCCTATATCCAATGGAGAAAAAAATGTTTGGCTTTTAATGCCTTCTGGATGTATCATGTGAAAAATTTAGCAAAAACTACGCAGATTATTCTTTTGCAGAACAGTAGTCATATTACGATTGACTGGGCGGATGGAGGCAAAGAGTGTCACAGAAGTTGCTGGTGAAAGTGAAGAGTGATTTATTTGGCACAAATCCAGCAAAAATGAGAAAGTGACAAAATAACAATGAAGAAAAATAAACTATAAAATTTATGAAGTATTTACAGGATTGATCAACTTTTCAAATGAGGTTAAAGCAGTATATGTTTGATTAACTAAAGAGTTAGTTTGTTTGTTTGGAAGGCATGCTAGCTATGCTACATTTATAATTTACGCAGTGGATTTAGTCGTTTGCACTGTTCAGTACTAAAACTCTATAAGTCATTTGCATTCGACATTTATTTTTAAATAGTTTTTATTTTTTAACATTTTTGAAAATGGTTTCACCTGGAGTAATATTACAGTTTTCATTCATAACGTTAAAAAATGATATGTAAACGTTATTATTTTTAGTGTTTTTTAACATGTATATATCAAACAGCATGTTGACAATAATTCAATAAAAAAATAGTATAGCATAAATGTAAACTTTGTTGTTGGCATGGAGTTAAATAATAAATCAGTTTATAAATCCAGTACATTTTGACCTATTTTTTTTTTTTTAAATTGCAACAATTCTGAATAAGCTGTAGCTTGTTATACTCATTGATTGTGTTTCTTCATCTGTTCATTTCCAGAGCCCAGTTCCTACAAGAGAAGGCCCAAACTAGTGGAGGAAGTGGAGGAGGTCCAGTGTGACATGCGGAAAAAGTGTGCCTTCTCCAAGATCCTCACCACCAAGAAGAACCTGGATCACGTCAACAAGATTCTGAAAGTCAAGAGGCTTCAAAGGCAGGCCAAGACTGGAAATAACATGGTGAAGAGACGCAGAGGAAGGCCAAGGAAGCAGCTGCTTTCTCTAGAGGAGGGATTGCTAGGTCAGATGCCAGTTCTAGAGAAGTGTGTGGACCTTCCTGGGAAGAGGAACCTTCACACCGGCCTGGTGCCTGCTCAGCTTGAGTTCTCCAATCACGACTCTATCACAGACGCCATCGAGTCAGTGGTAAACATGGCCAGATCCCAATTCAGCCCACAGTCCATGCAGGGAGGCAAGAACTGGCAGAAAATTCAACCCGAGCTCCAAGTGGAGCGTCCAAACCGCAAAGGAAAAGGCAACAGGAAAGAAGAAGCTACTCTAGCATCTCATTAGTGAGGTGATGTCAGTGCACTGTGAGTTAGCCTTGTGTTTGGGTCTTAAGTATGGTTTCTCCAGTTCGTTTGGATTCTACTGACACATTTTAATGGGCATTCGCTGAGAACTTGGATCATGGTTGTGGTCTAAAGAGCTCTGCTTTCGGTTTGTACAATCCTATCCTTTTTTTTATTATTGGTCTCAAGGAGACAAACTGAACATTTACTCTCCCAAAGCCCATAACAACAAGGATGTTAAAAATATGGCTATAGCTATAATCTACCAGCACATGTAAATGAACTTAAATGATGGTACTGTGCACTTTTTTTGTTTCCTTTTTCATTTTGCGCAAGCACAAAGCACAGATCTTCTGGCAGAGGTTGATTTTTCAAACAACAGGTCAACAGTAATTCACGCTTACATTTGCTTGTCTGTGCTCAGGTGTGTTTCAGGCATGAACCAATGGCAATACTTTTGGATGAAACCTTTTTCAGTGATGTTTCGATGGCTATAATTTCACTGTACATAGCAACATATCCTATTAACATTTCCAATTCAAAGTATTTTAGATCTACCTATACTGTCAGCATAACAAATCAAAAACAATATAAAGGTTGAAATGTTTTTGTTCTGTTCGTAACCAAATAGAAGTAGAAAGCTCGTTCAAACGGAGAAACATATTTAGTTGTGTAATCTTAACGAAGTGGAATCACTGCAGATCAAAGGCTTGTTGACGACTAAGGATATCAAAGCGCATCCCAATAGATCACAACAGGCTTGAAAAATGCTACGGTTGCATTTAAAACCAACAAAGCACTTATTTCTTTTTCCTAAAACAAGTTGTTTTTTTCTTTCCTCACAGTGTCAGTGTTGGTTTTTCCACTTTAAGTAATAGTGAGCATCTGAATGATATTTTCAAGTTCTGACTGGAAAACAAGTTATTCAGTCGCTTGACTCGCTTTCTCCAGAGTCTCTTTGAGAATGTGCCTGCTCTTGTTAACTAAACAATAATATTATGTCTATATACCTGTCAGTATTAGATATCCACATGACCAAAGTTTCAGTGTAGTCGTGTATCATAGGATAGATTGGTTTCAGTTTAGCTGCTTGTGTATATTACAATGAATGGTGTGGTGGTGTGCTTATTTGTCGATGAGGCTGTCATTTGAATTGGAAAAATATAAGAACCAGAATGTACACTGAAGTCTATTTCCAAGATTGTCCTGAACATAGGACATCACAAACTAATCAAATATATGTCCTACGCTGTTTTAGACATCAGGATAGATTTGAATGTGCTCCTAATTTGAATAGCTTTCCATTTGTTTTCGACTTTTTAGTTGTTCCATATATGTGCCTTATGTTTTTCTATAAATCCATAACATGTTCAGGTTCTGGGAACACTTGGGTTGTGTTTGCACTTGGCAGATTTGGTTCAATAACTGATGCAGTTTTTCTGTTACTGTGGTTCATTTGAATAAGTGCCATCCGAACCATGGTACAAACCACACAACAAACAAGCTGACCAAGACTATCGAAAAGATGGGTCTCTGTTTGGTTTCAAGTAAACAATTATGTGTGAGTGATGTAATCTTACAAGTGAACTGAGTTCATTGAGTCTTGGTCCACTTCCAAACTCTGAAGCAGTTCAACTGAAATATGAACACGGCATGGACCAAAGACATTTAAGCAAGTCAGAAGCAGGACATTATTTCAAAACATGCCACAATGAAATGAACAGAATGCTCAAGCTTAGCTGTTTTTTTCCTCATCGTAGTTGCAATGTGGTCCATCCAATTCAATACTAATAAAATATATGTCAGCTGTGGTTAGCAGAATATTTTACAGTGAAAATTACAGTAGAAACAATGAAAAGAAATTACGGTAAACTACTGTATTTTATTAATTAGGGGTGTAACGGATCACGGTTGATACGCACGGATCACAATTCACAGTTCGGAACACACGTGAATTGTGGATTATTAACTTTTTTAAACTTGTAGCTTAATTCAACATTTTTAACAATTGCAGAGAGATTGCCTACCGCTTCATTCACACCACGTGTAAGAAGACATTTTGGCTTCCCCATGAATTTAATGTTGACAGAAAAAGTTGTGGTGGGACCTACTTAAATGCTTTCTTAGGTTATTAATTAAAGGTTTTTTCTGTCACCGCCTGTTTTTAATCTGCATTAATGCATTCAGTGTAAAGCTGCACAATTAAACATTAAAAGATCGTGATCTCAATTCAAACCTGCGTAACATGAATGATTATTGATAATCATTTGCATATTTATTAATCCTTCTAAATGCTGCATTCTAATCTGCGTTTAATTGAGAGAGATTCAGTTTTTACACTTTTTCATGTCTTTACAAGGTTGAATAGTACAGAAGAACTGGGAGATCAGTTTCTAGTTCAGAAATAAACACTGATGTTTATGGTTAAGACTAAAATCATTTTATACTTTGAAACCGTGTAAAGGAATTTGACGCTGATGAAAGTAATTACATTGTGTAACCAAAAAACAACCTTCAAAATCATGTCACTGAATAGGTTTTTAAAAACGAAACACCTATAGTATAATGAAACCTTAAGTTTTATGTGTGAATTGTTGAATCATTATTTGATAATAAATATGATATGTTGTACGCAATAATAGATTTTTATATTTAGCACTATCAGAACAGTAGCAAAGATCATATTTCGTATTAAATACTTTTACTTTTTTCAGCTTCTGTTTTCTGTTTCTCTCTTGAATTAGATTTTTATTCAAATTAACAATAACCAATGGTTTTTGCAGTAATATTTTTGGATAAATGAAAAGCAATTGACATTTGTCTCCTCCCATTTTTGCTGATCCGATAAAAGGTCCAATCCGTGACTCAAAAACCGTAGTGTGATCTGAACCGTGAGATTTGTGACCTGTTACACCACTATTACTAATATTTTATACACCAATTTTTTGAAGTATTAAAATCTACACAGGTAAAAAAAAAAAAAAAAAAAGCAAGTCATCGCCATAGAATTTTAAGGTACTATCGACATTTTTATCTAAATTGTTGAATGTACATCACTGATGAAACAAAAACCCTGGAAAAACGACACAAAATAATGTCAACAAAAAACTACATAAAAGTGTAATTTCCTTGAACGTCAATTTTTGGTTATTCACCATATATATTAAGGAAACTTAATAGGGTATCAGAAAACTTAGCCAGGTAACAGATTTTAAAATTGTCGCAATTTTACATTTTTTTTACTATTAAAAAGATTTTTACAGTGCATCAAAAACCAATTTGTTTTTGTTGTGTATTTTTGTCCATTCTTTAAAATGACAGTGTAATTTTTAAGTTTATTTTGGAGCCGACCAAAAGACTACAAGTGTGAACACACCCTTAAAGGCAGGATATCTACATAGAATGTCATAATATAGTTTGCTCTGGTTGTAAGATATTCATCATTTTAATACAACTTGCTACAGTATAATAGGCTTCATTATGACTTTACTCTTATATATAGTTCAGTGACCAGACAGCATATCTAGTACATGTCAAAATATCTCTATAGCCGAGCCCGTGCTGGGTTTTTGAAATGAACACATGCTTATTTACTATGCATCAGGTTATTGCTGTGAATCCATCGATTCTTTTGTAAGCTTTCTGTGAAATGAAGAAGTGGTCTTACAGAAATTTCAAATCTGAACAAACGACTAGTGCTAAAACTGACTATCATTTCTTTTGCAGCTGTGTAGGGGAGAGAAATCAGCCTCTGAGCAGTGCAGCCTTAATCAAAAGTTCAATTCATCAAATTGTCCCCTGTAAATAGTCCATTAGTTGCTGTATAAGCTGCGTGAATCATGCCTAAGAATCATGTCAATGTGTTGCACTCACACAGCTGTCCGAAGCAGGATGCAAATAGAGGCTTGACATGCCATGTGGTGTTACGAACCATCATGAAAACTTGCAGTGCATTAAAGCTAAAAGAAATAATATATCTATATATATGCCGGCAGCTAATTTGCCTCAGCCAGTTGTACTGGACCTTTTGTAGGATGTGTGTCCATTTGCGCTGGTTACGCTAAACACCTGCGAACGAACATTGCCAAAAATGTTGACCTTTTGTTAGTGCTTTAAGCACCGAAAGCTATGTTTTAAAACAAAGGAAATGTACACCGTAGCAGTTTTCTGAAACATGATTATAAACATGGCTTTGGTAACAAGGCCTGGCAGCTCCAATTTGCTCGGCTTCTGTGCTTTTAAAATGCCAGATATATATTTTCTCCACCAGCTGATAAGTGGTGCCTTGTGAAGTTACGTGTATTTTTTTATGTTCCTGCTTCTAAACGACAATACTACCAAGGTCACCGAGAGAATGTCGCCCGCTCAGATGTACTGTAGGATGGTATTTTTTTGTCTGTATCGCTTTTAATGAAGTTATAATACAAGTGAAGTGTTAATCGACAGTAATATTCCTGATGAGGACACAACGGAAGCTCTTATCGCCGCTCTTTACATCGGAATCCATACACACATGCGGTGTAATGACCATTTGATTTCTGCATGCTGATTTTGATTGTGTGCATACAACATTTTGAAGAAAATGAGAAGTATTTCGATTTGAATAAGATCTTATACATTGTTTGATATGTTTTTTGTAATGGATTTTAAATTCATAAAGCATTTTGTACATTGTAAGGATATTAAAAACAGCAAATAATGGACGTATATAAAAAAGAATAAATACTGATATACACAAACATATGCATTGTACATAGAATGTACGTATACACGTTTATGTTTTGTGTACACGTTTATAAATACAAGTACTACGCTGTACATATGTACATACATGTAAGCTTGCATGTGTTTGGTCATGTTTGCCGTTCATGATCTTGTAGTTTTATTTTTTTATTTCTTCTTTTTCTTACTGTAAAGCTCATTTTTTTGTGCAGCCATCTCCGGTGAGCAGTATTGAGCACTTCAAATACAGTCGATCTTGTTCATGTCATTCATTGTGCAAAAAATAATAAAATGAATTTATCGAGAACTCACTTCACTTCCTTTGCCTTCTTTGTGTCTTTGCCTTGATGCTTTAGTCATACTTAGCTGGCAGTTTGTATTAGTTAAAAAAAAAGTAACACCTTGAAGCATAGCATCCTGTTTACTTCTCAGTTTTTTTAGCGCTTCCAGGTTAGAAAACTGCTTTACCTGTTTGCTGTGTGATGGATGGGGAATATTATCCTACATGAAAACTGTTCTCTGATCGGGCAATGAATGCAGAGAAGGAATCAGCATACCAGCTTCTGATAAACATTTGCTTTCATTCTGTGATGTATCTGTAATAAGAGGCTCAAATCTTGTGGCAGAAAACACCAACCCTGAACCCATGACGTTTCACCTCCACCTTCACCGTCTTCTTTTTACACTTTAGCCTTTCCCCAGTTTGACCCATTAGATCCAAATGAATTAAACGTTGGACCAGTTCTCTGTACATACAACCATGGCTATCATAACAAGACTAAAACTCATTTAAAAAACTTTGTTAGCTGAAATAAAAGAAAACAAATGAAGAATAAATGAACAAAATTCAACTCAAAAACAAATGAATGATTAGCAAAAGTAATAATTGTTTTTCAAATGAAAAAGCACTTATTCTGTGGCAGAAAATCTGACCTGCAACAGTTTATGGAGTTACCTGTATATGATGCTTTTACAGACACAATCAAATGCATTATTATTTATTCAAAAACTTTTCTATTTAGACATAAAACACATGTTCTTCTAACTTTTCAGAATTTGCCAAAAAAAAAAAAAAAAGCCACATGCATAATCTTTAATATAAAAAAGTTTTAATAATAAAGTAAATAAAGTTAAGTTAAAAAAATAAATAAGTTAAAATAATAAATACTTTATAAGTAAAGTCTTAATTCTTCCAGGTTTTTACTTTGATTTGTTTGTTTGTTGCATTTCTGTGGTTGTTGGTTGTGTCTGCTTAAACAGTTTATTTATTTGCTGCACAAACACTAAACTTTGCTGATTAATTAGAATGACTCAAACTAAAGCTAAATATAATCAAACTAAATAGAAATGTGTACACAGAATGAAAAATAAAACTAAACTGAAATGAACGGAAAATGCAGAAATAGCTAAAAAAAATAAAATAACCTATTAAGCAAAGATCTTTCAGGCTTTCTGAGTTTTTATTTTCTTTAGTAAGTGACCAAACTCTACATTGTAACGAAACAATTTTCTAAAGAAGCAACTTCTCTTGCTGTGTTTGAAAGGGTCCTTCATCCCCCTTTGACCTTCGTCTGGACAACCAGCAGTTGTAGGATTTCAGTCACTTTAGAACGCCTTACCATTTTGCATAGATGCACAAAGATTATCGCATATTTAAGAAATTGAACAGCAAGTTCCAGATTAACACCAATATGTCTGAATGTCTTCTCTAATCAGCTTCTTTCTCAAATATCCCATATCTCTGAAAAGTTCAAGGGCAGTCTATGGACCCTAGCATACAACCGGCGCAATAAGATGCAAGACGTGTTTCCGCAATGTGTTGCTATTTTCAGACCAACGCAACCTTAATTTTTCAGCGTTGCTATTTTGAAGAAATAAAATAGACTGCAATAGAACAGCTGAAATCAGGTCTAAAGTCCAGCGCAGAGCGTGTCAGTTTTGGGCCTCGCTTAAACATTGTTTAAAACACGTAGGATGTGCAGCAATATGAAAATATCTTTACAAATGAAAAAGAATTAAAGAATTCATTTTCTTGTCAGCTTAGTCCCTTTATTAATCCGGGGTCGCCACAGCAGAATGAACCGCCAACTTATCCAGCAAGTTTTTACGCAGCGGATGCCCTTACAGCCGCAACCCATTTCTGGAAAACTATATTGTTATTAGTAGTATGAGTATTTAGTAAATGTATATTTATTTCTGTTTTATTAAAAACAAGCTTAGATTTGCCCACCTGTCAGGTTTTAGACCATACATGGCATAAGATGTGTGTTCGGACATAGCACAGTTTTTTGACTACACGTTGTTATAATTGTTTATTTATTAATTTGCTGGAAATTAGAACTTAATTTAGAAATAGTTTTGGAACGAATATTTGCACTTAACTAACAAAAATAATTATGTAGGCTAATGGATGTTTTCAGGGGAATGCGTCCAACAAGTTTCCTATTTGTTGAAAGAAAGTGAAAGTAAAGGCTGAATAGAGGAGGCTCATTCTATATCTTTGCGCTGCAGATGTTCTCAACTGTTTTCTCTCTAGTGAAGTGTTCAGTTTTTACACTTACAAAGTCCACCATGTAAATAGCAAATGCGCCATGGCTTTACGCAACTGACTTTTAAAGGAAATGGGAGATGAGATTCTGATTGGTTTATTCTCAAAACACAACTATAACTCATCAAGAAATTAAGCTCAACCATGTTAGACCATGCACCAGGGTGCAGAGTGTATTTTTCTGTCCTTAAAAGAGCAAAAGTGGATTCGGACACGCCTTTAAAGATCGTTAAAATAGAGCCCCATGTGTTTTATGCCGTGCTTCAGAATATATGCTATATGTAACTCATGAAATATGCTTAAAACTGCTCTTTTCTGCCAGCATAACTTCATATAGGACTAATCTGGACAAAAATGGTACGAAATAAGAATTTGGGACATGGTTTGGAATTATTGTAATAACAGGTGCTTTTACTTAGCACAAAACTGAAAATTGACATTTAAATGTCAAAAACACCACAGTGAAAGTGTGTGTGTGTGTGCAGATGCTGATGATGGGTCAACCTGTAATTGATGTCATTGTGCAGTTTAGCAGAAGGAATCCCTGCTCATCAGCCTCATACAGTCTCTCTCGTCGCTGCATTATTACAACACTGCACAGTAGAGATAAACGGATTGGCCCAAATCGCAGCCGTTGGTTGGTGAAGGCGAACTGAAAAGCATCTAACCATAGGCCTGTGCCTCTGTAAAAATTCCTGTTGCCATGGCAGCTGGGTGAACTGCCCAAATATTCCGGCGCACTGCTTGGCTTGAGTTAAATGTCTCAAGTTGGGCTGGTGGATGCGCACGCCTGCAGCTTCCTTAACATTATGTGCAGTGCGGAAAATGTGAGAGTGTAATTTCTGCTGAAAAGTCATAATTGTTGTTTGGAATGGAAAACAGATGACGGGCTCTGGCTATTAGAGGTAATGGGGTGCAGATGATAACGAGGGTTGTTTGTGTGAATCATGTTGGCGTGACTCATCTGTGGCACTGCCGCTATGCGTGCATCGCTCTCAGCGTGCCCGTGTTGGCCCTCATTATCTGAGCTGGGACTTGACATACCTATAAAAAGAGGAAATAAACAAGCCAATGTCATTTGCCTTCTCCTAACTGTACTTCAACTGCTGTCAACATCTTGACATCGACAGTGCCCAAAAATGTCTGCCTAGTCTGAAATGTTTGTGAGCTTTGTGAGCTCTCTGACCACAGATAGGCCAGTTTATTTCTTCCAACTAATCTACTTGGGAGGAAAAAACATTTTAAAAGCAATTAATGTACGTAACTGACAACGTTTATGCTTTTATTTATTACTTTTTTGAAAGCATTGACCTTATTTTTCACTTATGTGTGGGTGCCCTATTGGAATCTTTTTGGCTAGAGACTTCCACTCTCATTCCACAGGGGAATGGACCACCAACTTATCCAGCATATGTTTTACAAAGCAGATACCCTTCCAGCTGCAACCCAGAACTGGGAAACACCCACACACACACTCATTCACACTGATACACTACGGCCAATATAGTTTATTCAATTAACAAAGATATATTCACATATATCACATGTCTTTGGACTGTGAGGGAGCACTCGGAGGAAACCCACACCAACATGAACATACAAACTCCACACAGAAATGCCAACTGACCTAGCCAGGACTTAAACCAGCGACCTTCTTGCTTTGAGGTGACAGTGCTAACCACTGAGCTACGGTGCCACCCCCATTTTGAAGATTACCAAAACAAACTTCTTTTTTTTCAGTTGATTAACTTGCATGGATTAGTTTCACCAAAAGAATGACAATGTGCACTAGCAAAATATACATTGTACATTTTGATTTCACACAGACTTAACAAAACTCAATTGCTTGCCTTTTCCAAATGATGATGGTTCATGTAAAAGAATGTCAGTCTTGTTTCCTTAAAATATTCTCTGTTAAATTTGGTTGTTAGGCTATGATAGAAATTTGTCTTTTGGTCCAAATCAAAGACATTTGTTTAGCCTTAAATTGTGCATCGGCTACTTGTCTTATTGGTGTAGTTTATATAATTTTTATTTGATTGAAATATAAAAAAAAATAAAACATGCCTTTTTAATCGTGTAGATTGAGATATGTAAAACATTGTGGAAAAGCTGTGTTTAAATGCAAATGCAGTAGCGTAAACAGATCCTGTGTGTGGCGCGGGACGCTGCTTTTTATGATTGGCAGCTGGCAGGGCAGCAGCTGCGGTTGCTACGGTGACAGGCTGACTTGCAGCAGTTTGGATGGCGAATGAAGCTGTTAGTGTTTGCAGGAGGAGGACGTGACGAGGGTTTTAAAACACACTCACGCTTTGCTGATTTACATGTCAGAGGATCATACTGTCTCTTCTTCCCCTGGGAAACATAGAGTCACAGGAATGAACACTCTTCGTGCTCTTGTAGGAAGATGAAGTGCAAAGATGGAGGAGATCAAAGGTTCACAATCATGACTGAAACCAGAGCATCAGATTTCAAACTAGCAAATTAGACCCCAGACACAGTTTTGCAAGACCCAACAAACATTAATATTTTATACTGAAGACTAATAAATTATTTAATGTTATTATTCAATAAATAGAATAAAAAAGTGCTTGATTTAAAGATTATATATATATATATATATATATATATAATTATATATAACTATAAGGATGACCCAATATGCGTGCAAATGTGATCTTACAATTGAGAAGCAGCATGAAAATAATTTTGTTCTTGCACGCAAAAGAAAGCAGCTAAATACTGAAAGAGAGGATGATCACT